GGTGGGTAGTTTGCTCTCTGGCTGTGGCCTTTTTTTTTTTTTTTTTTTTTGGTTTTATTTTTTATATCATACTGGTTGGTTGGCGCTGTACAAAATTTACTCCTCTTGCTTCGTTCATTATTGTATGTGACGAGGTGAGAGAGAGAGAGAGAGTGGTGGGCTGGGGGGAGGTTGGTAGATCCAGGACTAGGGTTGGCGCTTGACCACTAAAATGGACAATTTTATTTCACACGAGTTTCTTTTCTACAATTCCATTACTTGTAAACTACCCTCTAAATAAGTTTAAATTGCAAACCCACCATTAACTCTTTTTCTTTTTCTTTTTATGCCAACAACCACGGCCATAAATTATTATAATGAATGAAGCTCCCTCTGCTTCGGTCCCAAGAAGAACAGGAAAACAAGGATTTCAATACAATTTTGTTTTCCTTGTCCAAGTAATGTTATACATAAGATTTATGTATATATTAGCACAAAATTAATGGGTTTTTTATAATACAAGTAATATAGTATGAGGGGAGATCAAACTTAAGATCTCGGTTGGAGAGCTAAGTGCTCTTAATCACTTGAGGTAAAAGCCCATTACGGGAGTTTAAGTATTAGAAATTTGGAAAATATTAATATGGTTTGTTTGGTAAATTTATGTTGGAAAATTTTAACTCAATCTCATAATTGGTGAGTGTAGACGGTGAGTACAAAATATCGAAATATTTCTTATTAAATAACTGCATTTTGTTCATGGGAAAGGAGACTTGGAGTGAGAAATCAATTGTTTTTCCACGTTTGGTAAGTCCAGACATGGTAAATATTTGCCTGGCACATGAGGAAATAGGGGAGAAATGTAACCTTCTTCCCCATTGGGTTTCATTTTCCTTTCCCATTGGAAACTTTAGGAAAATGGATCAACATTAAATTTAAATGCACATTTTTCATGACCATTTTGTCCTTATTAATAATTTAGAATTACAATATAGCAATAAATACATTATTCTTTATTTGATTTCATATGGGTATAATTGAAAAATTAAATCAATTTTGTTTTACATTCCTCCACAAACTAAACATGGAAAATAAAATAAAGTGATATTTCCTTATTACTTTCCTAGCATTACCAAACATGGGAAATGAATCTTCCATTTCTCATCTCTTGGGAAAAGTCATGAGAAATTATTTCTCATCAAATTCTTTCCACGATCCAAACGAGTTTGTGTTGTGATTTATAAACTGCCCATTTGCAATCACCCAACTTTTTATTTAATGGTATTTTTCTTTCTAACAGCGGAAGAAATTGCAATTTATATTTCCCTCTACATAGTTTTAAAATATAGATATTACTTCAAAACGGTGTGAACCAAATGCGTCCTTATGAACAAGGAATGGAATAAGTGTGCCATAGCTGTCAAAATGGGTTTGACATTCAGCATGTGTGCAATTCATGTATTTTTCTTGATTGAGATTTTTGCTCTCCTTGTGCTCGATTAAAGTCCTGAAAGGAAAATTTCCATTGTGGTCCAAAACAATATAAAGCTCCCTGTTAGTGAGTTTCAACTTTCAAATATCAACCTCAGTCAGTGTTGGTGCTTGAATGCACATTCTACTAAGCCAATTTTTCCACATGCAATGCAATGAAGTGATCATTTATATATTTAGAGTGCGGACATACCATTTAGACCTTCGTTGTTTTTAACATATTCCTCTCTCGTTCTTTACGAATTGACAACTAAGTTTAGTGTTTTTATTTTTTATTTTTTATTTAAACTTAACGGTGTTAAGTAGATACTAACGCCCATTTCTCTCTCCCAAAAAACCCTCCTAAAGCCGTTTTCACTTTGAGGGGGAGGAGGCCCTTGATCTTCCTCTCCTCTCCCCTCTTTCTCTTCCTCCCTCTCTTCTCCAGAGACAAATGGTTTTCTCTCATAGGCGATTGTGATTTGTTCTGATTTTCCTCCAACCATTATAGGCGATTGCGTCTCAGCGTTGGATCTCTACCTTCGTTTTGACGTCGGATCTCTACTACCATCTTTTTTGTGGTTTATTTATGTTCGGAATAAGTCACAGAGACTCTGTAGGTTCTCTGTGAGTTTTCACCTCTCCTTTTGTGAGAGCTTTTCACGTCTCCTTTGTGAGAGTTTTATTTGTATTGTTATGGCTTGGTTTTTCAAGCTTTGTCTATTTTTGATTATTCTGAGTTTGCAATCTTAGTTGGGATGCCTATGCTAGAGTTTATTCGATCCTGCGTAATCGTTAGTGGAGGCGCACCAGATTGTCTTAATTTTGTTGTTCGACCGCTCCGTTATTGTAATCTCCCTTTGTGGCTAGTTTGTTTTGGCCCCTTATGGCTAATGATTTTTTTGGCTGAATTATGAATGCAATCCTAGAATTTCTCAACAAAAAAAAAAAAAAAAAACTTAACGGTGTTAAGTTGGAGTTAATTAAATAGGTATATGTCAAAAGTTAAAAATTAATATGTCATATCTTAGTCGTTAGATTATTAAAATTGTTAAAATTTTGTAAAATACGGATAAATATATAATGACTAAAATATAGAACCTCGAGATCCGTTTAACTTATGAGGCTATAATTTTTTTTTTCTCTAATAAGTTAAATATTTTTAGATAGGCTTTCAAGAGAAGGATAATTTTTTATTTTGAAGTTTAAATAAAGTAAAACTTGAGTGAAGCATTATGCCAAGTTTGAACAAGTCTTTGCCTGCATTTAGATACTCTAAAGTCTACACGTTGAAGGATATTTAGATATTTTTTGTTGGCTTGTAAATGTTCAAAGAAAGTGGCCAAAACCCAGTGGGTCAAAATTAACAAAAAACAGTATCTCTCATCAACTCAGAGAGAATAAACGATACTCTGCAACCATTACTGTGATCAGACTCCAGTGGCAACACTAGTCAACTGCCGCTTTTTTATTTATTTATTTATTTATTTATTTTTTTATTTAATTTTTTTTGGTCTAAGCTGCCTTTTTTTTTTTTTTTTTTTTTTTTCCCTCAACATGGACTTTCATATCTATGTGTATATATACAATCCAATTCTATTCAGGAATTTCTCAAAATTATTTGAAGGACACCCTTTAAGATCCTCTATGATTTTCTTTAACGATCAAAATCATTTATTTCTTAAGTCTACATTAATAGATTATTTTTGCAAAAAATTAGACAAATTGGAAACTATTTCGACATTTAATTGCGTCTCACTAAACTTTCAATAATTCAATTGAGTGGTTAAATGATATCGGATTCAAGTGATTTTTTTGTAGAGCTGATCTTTAAATGAATATCTACAAAATAGATGGTTTGGATTAGTGAAATACAATACGAAATGGGCTCTACAAAGATGTCCCTCAAATAAGTTTATTTATAGAATCCCTCAACTGACGCTCTATAGATATATATTCAAAATTATCAATTAGGAATTTATACCTTCATTCTTGGTTGAAATAACATATGTTTTTTTTCTTCTCAAATTTCTATTTCTATTTTAATAATATATATACTTCTTCTTTTTTAAGCGATATTAGAAAAATCAAATCTAAAACCTCGAGTGCATAATATATTAAAATATTATTGTATCAACAAATACACCACATTAACATATTATTAAGGAGAGGTTCTACAAAATAGATAACAAAAATAGACTGCCAACAAAGTTAAACAACTGGTTTAAAAATTCTTCTTTGTTTACTTTTGAAACCAAATGTCAATCGAATATACATATGACCTATGACACATTTTTGAACATTTCTCTTTGCACTTGGTTGCGCATTTAAAATGTATACAAGTTACAACATGCGTTTGAAATTTTGTTTTCTTTGATTTGGACATGGTAAATCCTAGTCAAATTTCTCCAGCAACATCTGGCCATGTCACTCTAACCCAATTGACATTCATGCATGTATGCCATTTTTCTTGGAATTTAAAATATCGGTCTACGTAACTATACCAACGTCCAAAGAAGAATTGTTACCTAACTCTCTTTTATTTTTTCTTTCTTCATTTTACAATCAGAAATCTGCTCTTCAAACTGAAAAACAAAAAGAAAAGAAAAACATAAGAGACAAATAATTGAAAGCTGCGAGCCCCTGAGCGCACATATGAAATGTCAAATTACTGTAAAAAAAAATCCGTTGTCTTTGAAGGGGGAAACACTTGTGTGAAATGGGAATATCAATATTTTGTTATTTTTGACCAATTACGATATGTCACACGTGATTATGAAAATGACAAAATAGTGTTATCTCTGTTATACAAGTTTTTCTGCTTTGAAAAGCAGCACAATCGGTTGGGGTGGGTTCTAAATGAATGGCCATGAAAATTAGCTGCGACAATACTGTTGCAGAGAAACTGATGTCACAACCAACAATGTGACTCTGCGTTTCACAATGATTGCACAACTAAACAAGTATGAAGATGAAGATGAAGATGAAGATGGGTCCATTTTGACTTAAACCAAGTGTCCTTGCTTCATATTCTTCAATTTTTTTTTTCTTTTTCTGAGTTTGAATTATTCCCAGTTGGTGTTCTCAGTTGGCTTAATTACTTTTTTGGGTCAACCTCAGTTGGCTTGATGAAAATCATTATGGCCATTCCTCTACGCTAAGACACAATTCCATTGCATGAATAATATAAACCAAATGGTTCACACTATAATATTTATATTGCAGCCCCTCATCATTGACTAGAGCATATATATGGAGTTTTGGACTGATGTTACCTGTATCGTGTAGAGCATTTGATCGAGAATAGATTTATAAAAAGAATTTGAAACTCTTTAAATCCATATTGCAATGCTATTTTAATTATAAGCCACCCAATCAATGATGCTAAGTTGTTTATTTCAGCATAGTTGGTGTCGACTTGTATTTGTTTTTTTCCTTTTTCCTTTTCTTTGCCTCCGAGTTTAGATATCGGGACCAATTCATTTGAGATAACAACAATTAGCCATACATAGTTGCTGATCACTATATTTTTGTTGGTTAAATGTTTATGCATATCCTAGCTAGAGCAAAGCCACCTTTCGCATTCCTAAGCGAAAGTTTAAAGGTCTTAAATTACAGATTCAAATGGTATGATTGATATCCGCCATGCATCAACCATGGCATTCAGCAATCTCTTCAGTGAGTCAGAAGCATAACCTTGTTTAGGAAAAGAAAGATTTGCAGATCACTCTATCGTTCAAAGCTAAGCCAAGCCATGGAGTAGAAGCGTTGCTTTTGCTACGTTCTGTTTCTGGTGATAAGATGGCTGTGGATGCGGCAAAAGTACTTCAAGAGAGTGTTCGCAATCCCACATCGGCCACTTCAAGAAAGGAGGAGAAGGAGCTGTCTATAAAACAAACAGCACAACTAAGGATAAAGCATACCTTTCTCGGCCTTTTGGCTAAGATCAAGTGTAGTATCTGTTCTTATCAGTTTAATATCTGATACGTGGGCCAATGGCCCACACGATATTAAATTAATTTCTTTAGGGGGAGGGCCCACAACAGTAGCTTGCTACTGGGGCTCTCGAGCGTCGCCTAAGCGTTGCACTATTGCATGGGCCTGGCGCACCCCACCAAAGCAAGTTCAAATTTTTACCAGCCTAATTATAAGAATTTAGTGGAAAAATTAAAATACAAATTTATAAATAAACCCAATTCTAGACATGTATTTATAAAAAAATCCAAACACTATTTAAACATAGAAACACACCCAAAATCAACCCCAAAGTCAACTTTTTGGGTGTATTTATAAATGGGTTTTGAGTGTGTGTAATGATGGGTTTTGAGTGTGTTTATATGTTTAAATAGTGCTTGGGTTTTTTAATAATTTCAACCCCCATTTTGGGTGTTTTAGTGAAACTCCCAAATTAAAACCCACCTAAAACAGAACTTATAATGTTAATTACTGATTTGTTATGACATTGCTATGAGGGAATTTGTAATGGGGAAAGACTTGACAGTTCCGACAATAGAAAGGGCCTCTCTAAGTGCCTGAAGGAGATGGTCTGGATAATCCTCCATACTAGCAATGCCATGCTGTGATTGCATATTACTTAGGATTCTTCCCACAATCTGAACAAAAAATATGAACCTTTGTCCGTGAAAATAGTAACATTGCCAAAACTAGAATGTGTCTCCTAGCCACAAATTTTTGGGCAAAAACTTCAAAACAGCAGTGAAAAAATGATAACTGAACGTGTTAGGAAGGATAGAGTTCAATGTGAATAGAATAAGACTGACCTTTCGTGCATAGCCACCATAAGCAACACCTCCGATTATAGCATGCACCGAACTAGACGTTCCAGTTAATATTTCATCCCTTGAGTTTCCTGTAAAAAAATTGGAATAAAAAATTTGCAAATGAACAGAGAGTGCTTGACCAGATGAGAGGAGGAATTCTGTTACTATGGAAGGATGTCATTTGGAAAAGTCCGACTTTCTTCAACCCATCAACTGTGTGAGCATTGGTGCCACCCGCCAGTTGAAGAAAACCTGCCATTGTCAAGGGATCAAAAGAAAGCTCTGTAGTCTGTACCAAGGGTGAATAGCAGATCATATGTACAAACCATGAGGCCTATCTTTTATTGCAGCCAAACGAAGAGCAAAAGCAATCGATTCTCTTGTGGCACCTCGACCAATATCTCCACTCATGGGGCGGCCATCCAACTTCAGTTTACAGGTTTTTTATGCAGGTAGAAAGCCAAAAAACTAAGTGAGGTTGTGATGATATATTTTGAAAATATTTTAAGCAATTATGTTGGGTTCAAATTACAGGAGGTGGACCTGCCATAGATTGAAGCAACATAGATCTGGTTCCATAACTGAGTACATATCCTTCATTGATGATACAGTTGCCTCCCCAATATCAGGTAAGCTAACCTGGAAATGGCAAAAATTATTGCAGAACTCCCAAGAAATTCTACTAGACAGACACCCAGCGAGTTTACAGCTTAATAGTCCCTGTGAATTATTAAACAGAAGAAGTAGGTGACACACTTACTGCTGCTAATCTTAAATATTTGATCGAGTCAGCCAAACCATCCCAAAGTTCTTTAAATGGAGCAATCTGCCTACAGAAATTAAGGCTTAGTACAGTGGGATTGCCTCCGCTTGAATTGATATAAACTCAATTAGATTAAGTGCACAGAACATCCATGAAATAGTAAACGTTCTTCCCTCAATCAAGAAACTGTACCTTCCAGTTGTATGAATCTCTACAGCATCAACATCATTTCTTTTGAGAAGTTCAGAGGTTGTAGCAGCCTCTCTTATATATGAGGTCACTCCTATACCAAATTCACATCAACATATAAAATAATTTTGTATCCAACACAGAAATGATAAAAGTTGATGTCTAAAAAGTATGCATCTTTTGCATATTACGTTTTCAGTAAAATGATTCATACTTATTTTATCATAAGGGCAAACTGGAATGCAACGGCCGCAGCCATAACAGCGTTCAGTTAGAACTCCACCCTGCATATTTAGTTAAAAGTTTTAGAAAGAGATCCTTGATGAAAACCATGTACAAAGATATAGAAGCCTCATAAAATTAATATTGCTTTAAGAAAGGAAAAAAAAACACCTTAAATGCACCAGGTGCATTGGTATGAAAAGAGAGTTGTGTTGTTGAATTTTGAGCCTCCAATGATATTGCATCAGCAGGACAAACTCTCTCACAAGGCTTTGAACAGTCAAGGGGACAATCCTCTGGATCAAATTCTGTTTTTAAGATGGTAATCAATTCGGTAAGCCTTAAAAAAATTGTGGGTAACTGAGATGAATCCAAGAAAGCATTGTGTTCATGACAGCTGAGGCAGCCAGTCATTAAGACTCAAGATCACAAAGTTATATTGATACATAAAATTACAAAACATGAGCAATTCAGGCTTGGAATTCTACCCAAAAACATGAAGGTATGCAAATTTCACCGAAGATAATTAATAATTAGAAATAACACAAGAATCTGAGCTAAAAGTTATGTTCCATAGGCACTTGAGTTCATGGCAATGTCTATGATGCTAACTAAAGTAAAGAAGAAGGCGCTTACCGGCCTTGCGAAAGTGAAGATCCTCATCATCATTAACACTGATCATGACCCAAGGCCTTCGAAGGGGGAGAATCTCAATTGCTGCATCAATCCCCTCGTTTACTGCATTCACAACTGAGACATCTGCTGCACAGTCTATGCAATCAACTGCAACCGTTCATCCAGTAACATTAATTAATTTAACTTCAAAATATACGCTCACTCACTCACTCAATCAAAAAGAGTTAAAAATAAAGCTCCTCAAAAGAGTTTTTAATTAATTACCTCCTGCAAGAGTGTAAACCAGAGAAAGATTCCTTATATCAACCACATCCTAGAGAGAGACAGAGAAAAGTTAAGTTAGTGTGACAGGAGGTGATAATGAAATGGACGGCTGGTGGGGTTTTAAGGGCCTTGTTGCTGTAATTACCTCAAAGCTTGCACCACATATGAGCTTGACCCAGTTGCCATTTTGAAGAGATTTTACTGGTGAGCACGTTCTTGATGGAACCCCAACAGTTTTTATGAGATTCCTCACGTCTTCAAGGCCTTTGTTGGTTTTAAAGTTCACTCTTGCTGAAATTTTTTAAGACAGAGAACTGTCAGAGATGGAAAGAGAAGCAAGAAGAAGAAACTTTGATGCTAAGGAGAAATTGAAGTACTGCAGGAAAAGCTCA